GATGATGGTTAAATGTTAGAAAATTAAGCATTTGATTTCTGCCCATTGTTTTTTTGCTTTCCTTTTTCTTTCTTCCTGTAGCCTGATCACCACACACACACACACACACACACACACACACACACGTACGTACTCATTACATTTGGTATTTAGTTGGTCTCTTCTTGATATGAAAGAACTATAGCTAACATTGGGCTTTCTTTTTGCTATTTTTATTCTGTTAGTATTAATGTTAACAACCAAAACTAAACTGTTAAAATTTCTGTGATCATTATCTTGATACTTGTTTTCTGCTTTTATAGCAGCTTCTTTAATTAAGGAATATTTCAAATTCTTATTTAAATTTGCCATTTTTGAGTGGTATTTATCTGGAAAAAAGTGCTAAAGATTATCTGAAGCCTCAAAACTGACAGGATAAATCTAACTTTTCAGATGGCAATCTTTTTTTTTTTTTAATTAATGTATATTTATTTATTTTGAGAGAGAGAGAGCACCCATGCACATGAGCAGGGAAGGGGCAGAAAGAGAATCGCAAGCAGGCTCTGCACTGTCAGCACAGAGCCTGACATGGACCTTAATCCCACAAACTGTGAGATCAAGACCTGAGCCGAAATCAAGATTCAGATGCTTAACTGACAGAGCCACAAGGCACTCCCCTCCCAGATGGCATTCTTAATTCTATCATAATTTAATTGCATTAAATTCTATCATAAATTTGCTTAAGCATTTTATCATGAAGTCTCATTTCTTCCCAGAAAGACCACAAATTTGTTTAAGTAAAAGAATTCAGTCACAGATTAGAATCAGAATTTCTTACTTACTGTAGACCAAAATAATCTGGGCCTGATGTCTTTTTATATAGCCATAGTCTAACTGCTACCTCAAAGCTAGGGAGTGTTAACAGGCCAGAAGAGTAAACATGCGAATTGGTAATCTGTGCACTTAAAGGCATGGACTTGTAAGTAAGGACCAGGTTGAGGTTGAAGCCAAAGAATAAAAATATTTGACGAATGTTTTTCAAAGCAGTTTACATCCATTATCAACAGAATCTTTTCATAGCTCTGTGAAGTGTGAATATTAGGTACGGTATTTTTATATTATCTTAGCTTTACATATAAGAAAAAGGATGCTCGCAATGGAAGTTTGCTTAAGGCTCTACAGCTCTGAAATGACAGGTCTAGGATTGGGATTCAAGTCAATATACTACAAATCTTGTGGCCTTTAAAAATAAAATCTTGGTGTATACTTTTGCTTCCTTCAGATTAATTCCTTACTGTCCCAATGTATAGAAACACTAAGGTAGACTACCAGAGTAACTAAAATACTCTTTCTACAACAGATTGGAAGTCCCCTTACATTGTCCCTTTTCCCTGGCTGGGAAGCTAAATGAGCTTCTGAATTTCAATACGACAATAATAACAAAAGATTCCCAGGTCCTACCCCATACATACTAAAGCAGAATTTTCGGAGTGTACCTTACGCATCTGTGCGTTCACAAACATCCAGTTTGCCCTATGCTTAGTCAAGTTTGGGAAGTATTACCTTTAAAGCAGTTAAGACCCTTTGAAGGAAGACAGATAAGGTTAAAACTGTTATTGTTGTTGCTGCTGCTGTTGTTATTATTATTGTTGTTATTATATGGGCAGCTACTCAACAGTTCCTTAAAAACAGGTAACTTTCAAGGTATTCCAACGTAGTGGCACAAACTCCAGCATAATGGCAAGTGGCAGAATAAACTGGAAGATACTACCTAAAGTGGAGGTGCTGAAGAGACCTGGAGAGGTCAGGTGGATAGAGATACACAATCAACACCATTTAAAAATCACCTCATATGGGGCGCTTGGGTGGCTTAGTCGGTTAAGTGTCCGACTTTCACTTAGGTCATGATCTCGCGGTTCGTAGGTTTGGGCCCCGCGTCGGGCTCTCTGCTGACTGCCAGCTCAGCCTGGAGCCTATTTCAGAGTCTGTGTCTCCCTCTCTCTCTGACCCTCCCCTGCTCACGTTGTCTCTCTCCTAGAAATAATAAAAAATAAAATTAAAAAATCACCTCATAAACATGCAGGACATGTTCTAACTATATGAAAAAAGTGCAGTTTTTCCCCCAACTCATTTGAAAGTAAATATGACAACCTAATGCAAAGCTGTAAAAAGAAAAATTCAAAATCCACTTTTTGTACCTTTTCCCCTTGGTATTAGATGAATACCTTCCAGAATCCAGTCCGCTTAAAGGGAGAAGGGTTTGATAACCAGTCTCATTCTTTGTTTATAACACAAATCATGCTTTAATTGAAACTCATTCACAATATCATGTTAAAACAATTCATTTCCATCTTAAGCTCCTTATGGCTAATTATGAGTAGAAGAATTCTCAGAAGCTTAAAGGAATTTCAAATCTTATCTCTTAAGGTTGAGAAGGAGGTTAGAGCATATATATATATATATCTCACCTGATAGACTAAGAGCCGAATATATATATATATATATATATATATTCCTTGATAGACTAGGAGCCCCACAAGTCCTTCCCTGGGCTACTCTTTATGTACTAAGACTAGCAGAAACATACTGTCTTTTATTTAGTGACTTTTGATTCCAGCCATCACTCTTTCACCTATTCTACAATCTGACATCCTGATAAAAGCTGTACTTGTATTAATTCTATTAATACTTCTGGTTATTAACTTTCTTTTTTATTAATTATTTAGTTTTCAATTTACATCCAAGTTAGTTAGCATATGGTGCGACAATGATTTCAGGAGTAGATTCCTTAATGCCCCTCACCCATTTAGTCCATCCCCCCTCCCATAACACCTCCAGCAACCCTCTGTTTGTTCTCTATATTTAAGAGTCTCTTATATTTTGTTCCCCTCCTTGTTTTTATCCCTTCCCTTATTGGTAATTAACTTTCTTTTTTTTTTTTTTAACTTTCTAATAAAATAATTAACACTGTTTATTTTACTAGGAATTACTCTGCTTTAGAATGTTGCCTAAGATACTAACAAAGCATGGATGTAAATGGGTTTCACCAAACCAACAGATCATTATATGTAACTGTCATTTAAAAAAAGGTATATCCCACCTTGTTCCAGGGGATTTAACATAGTTTATTAATAAATTGATTAATTATACAGATAGCACAAGTTGGAAATTGATTATGAGAACTTAAAGTGGAACCAAGAAAGGCACTTTGATTAGCTCTTTAGTGTTCATAGATAGATTTACCTTTTCATTACCCCTTACAAAAAAGTAGTAGCACCCTTTCTGTAGCATTAATGATTAAGGTTTAAGATCTGATTCTAGGTTTGCCAAAAATGAATCCTTATGTCTGTTAAGGAAAGTGTCACTGTTTCATAAAGTCTCTCCTCTGCTTTTATGGTTTTGAAACTTCCTCATCAGCATATTATGTGGAATAAATCAGACATCAATATTATAGCTATGTACTACATTTTTGTTTACAGAAAAGTAAAAATTAAAGTTGTGCAAGTGAAGGGGTGCCTGGATGGCTCAGCTGGTTGAGTGCCCAACTCCTGACTTTGGCTCAGTTCATGATCTCATGGTTTATGGGATCAAGGCCTGCTGTCAGCACAGAGCCTGCTTGGGATTCTCTCTCTCCCTTGCACTCTGCCCCTCCCCTACTCATGCTCTCTCTCTGTCTCAAAATTAATAAATAGACTTAATAAAAAAAATAAAATTGTGTGAGTGACAAGTAAACCTAGTAAAAAGTTTTGTGTTTTTTTTTGTAATAGTCATTTAAAAGTCACTTTACAAGCTTTTTTTATTTGCATTATTACCAATTTGAGTAGTAAATCCCATGGTAAAATTCTGGCTTTGGTGTATCAGTGACATCTAAAGTACATGCATTTAATTTAAGAGGCCTGGATTTAGGATTTTTTTTTAATGTTTATTTATTTATTTATTTATTTTGAGAGAGAGAGCATATGTGAGTGAGCAGGGAAGGGGCAGAGAGAGTCCCAGGCAGGCTCCATGCTGTCAGTACAGAGCCCAGTGTAGGGCTCAATCCTATGAACTGTGAAACCATGACCTGAGCTGAAACGAGGAGCTGGACCCTCAACCAACTGAGCCACCCTGGGCACCCCAGGAGTTTTTGTTTTTTGTTTTTTTTTAAGGAGAAAAAGTAAACTCTTAAATGAAAAGGCCCTAAATCAAATGATTTGTAACTGCCACCATTGTGGCCAAGATAATTATTATTCATTGGCTGTGCAATTTGGAAATAATTCATTCCTTTCCTTCATGATGTTTCTTTTTTAAAAGTTAATGCAAAATTCTAACTTCAAAATATTGATCAGCTGGAACTATTTTGCTTCAAATAAGAGGGCACCAGGGTCTGAGTATTTTCCAGTCAGCCTTCTTTCTCTTTCATGCCTCAACTTGTGAGATCCTTCAGGGAGTCTCTTTATTATTTTTATAATGTTTATTTTTGAGAGAGAGAAACCATGAGCAGGGGAGGGGCAGAGAGAGAGGGTGACACAGGATCTAAAGTGGGCTCCACGCTGACAGCACAGAGCCTAATGCAGGGCTCAAACTCACAAACCATGAGATCATGATCTGAGTTGAAGTAGGATGCTCAACCCACTGAGCCACTCAGGCACCCCTCAAGGAGCCTTTTAAGGCATCCCAGAACACCTGTCCTAAGGAATTTTTTTCCCTCATATCCACTATCTTCTTTTCTGAAGACTGGCAAAGGTTAGGGGTACCTGAAAAATCAAATAATTGAATTTTCCAACTTGCTAACTGCTTATGAAGATTTCATGGAAATAGTTGAGCCTTGAGAAAAAGGTTTTAATCTCAGTGGGCTTACACAATTCATCTTTTTCCTATGCCATATTGCAAATAAGCATAGTATAGCTAATCCAGATCTCACTAGAGGTAGCTGTTATGCTAAGGATGCTATGGTCATCCTCAAGGTAAAAAGCACTAATAATTCCAATTCTTCCCCTCCTGCTTTTCGGTATCTCTCTACACTCCTGACTTTTATGTAGGACAAAGAACTTTGAGTCCAGTAAGGCCTACAAGGCAACATGGGGAGATGGTGGAGACAACTCTCCTGGCAATGTAGTGTCTAAGCAGCCAGGTGGAGTGACAAATGGTCAGCCTCAACAAGCAGCTACTGGAGCAGCCACCGGTGGATACATTAAACGGTATGCCAGCTCCTCCTGATTGTTTGACTCTTCCTAAATGAATGTCACACTCAGGAGAATGGGTGTTGTTATATATGAATCCTAACTCATCAGTTAGAAGTAGCGTTTATGCTATTTGAAGAATGCATTTGAAAATCGGTCTTCTGACGAAATGTTGACTATGGTTTAGTTTCATTGATGGATTAATTTCTCTTTATCTTTTTCAACACTTTCAAAATAACCCATATGAGCATATTTTATTGTACGTCTATAAATAGGAAACTGCGTTTTAAATGTATCATCTAGAGTAGGGGTCAGCCAGACCCATAAGGATAGTAAAGGGTCAGATAGTAAATATTTCAGATTTTGCAGGCTAGTCTCAATAGCAACTATTCAACTCTGTTGTAGGGTGAAAGCAGCAATAAACAACATATAAGCAAATGAGCATGGCTGCATTTGAATAAATCCTTATTTACAAAATGAGGTGCTGGGGCCAGTTTTGTTTGGCCTTTGGGCCAGAGTTTTGCAACCTCTGTTTTATAAATTATTTACTTGTTTGTTTTTAATGTTTATTTTTGAGAGACAGAGTGTGAGTGGGAAAGGGGCAGAGAGAAAAGGAGACCCAAAGTCTGAAGCAGGCTCTAGGCTCTGAGCTGTCAGCACAGAGTCTGATGCGAGCTTGAACCGTGAGATTATGACCCAAACTGAAGTCAGACGCTTAACAGACTGAGCCACCCAGGCACGCCTCAATTTCTTATTTTTAGAGAGACAGAGCAAGAGAGAGCATGCACACAAGTTGGGGAGAAGGGCAGAGGGAGAGAGATAGGAGAGGGAATCGTAAGCAGGCTCCACGCTCAGTGAGGAACCCTATGCAGGGCTCAATCCCATAACCCTGGGATCATAACCTGAGCTGAAATCGAGTCAGATGCTCAAGCGACTGAGCCATACAGGCCTCACAACCTCTGATTTAGAGCAAAGATTCTTTAGACTTAGTATACATCATAGTCATGTGAGAGGTTTATTAAACCATAGAATGATAAGATGCACTTCCAGTTTCTGATTCAGTAGATCTGTAGTAGAATGTGAGAATTAGCATAAGTTCCCACATGATGCTGTGATCACTCTTTGAGAAGCATTGTTCTATAATTGTTACTTCTCTTACATGGGCTTTAAGACATTATGCTGTCCTTGGGCATTGTTTCCATTTTTTCCATTGTTTCCATTTTTACTGCAGAGTGTTTCCCAAGAATGGTAGCCTACAATTCCACAGTTCTAACATTTGCTGAGGTCATTTTGGCTTCTTATTTTTATGGAAATTAAATCCAAATTAAATTTGGATTTACTGTCTTTTTTTGTGATAGTATAACTAATGACGCCAGAGAAGATGAAATGGAAGAGAACCTGACTCAAGTGGGCAGTATCCTAGGAAACCTAAAAAACATGGCCCTGGACATGGGCAATGAGATTGAGGCTCAAAATCGACAAATAGACCGGATCACAGAAAAGGTAAGTGATCCTTTGTGCCATAGGAATTTGAGATATCCACAGTGTGTTAGTAATGGACTTCTATGCTTGACACTTTGGGCGAGAACAATAGGAGATTCTGCCCTCAAAGTCTTAGAGTTTTGATGAGGTGGCAGTTCTTTTCTTTTTTATTTGACAAAGAGTGTATGCACATGGCATGAGCAGAGGAGAGGGAGAGAGAGAATCCCAAGCAGGCTCCACACTGTCTGTGCAGAGCCTCACATGGGGCTGGATCTCATTAACCATGAAATCATGACCTTAGCTGAAATTATGGGTTGGATGCTTAACCAACTGAGCCACCCACATGCCCCCTAAGGTGGCAGTTCTAACACATTGAAAAATAATAGCCAAGTCCTCCAGTCTCTTACTTCTGTAAGGCAGTTGGTTCATTTTGAAACCAAGATCTTGGAATGAAGTGGTTTTAATTAAAATTTCACACACGAAGCTTAGAGTCTACTCTAACCTTTGGGAGGTCTAGAGTCAGTAGGTGGGTATCTGTTTGTTACGTAAAATGGTTCTTGTGGAGCAGACACACAAAACAGTGTCCTAGGAGTAAAGTAGAATTGCCTTTTTTTTTTTTTTTTTTTTTTAATTTCACGTGATAGAAAAAATACTGAAAGTACAATTGTGTTCAGTGTTTGGATGGGTCACCATCTAAAAGCCAGTTCTTGTTACTGTTATTTTATTAAAAATCTCAGTGTGCTTTAAAAATGAGGTGAATTTTTAAGCTTAGCTCTGTTGGCTTGCCTAATGGTAGATTTCAGTGAGGCAAACAGTGGTTTATGAGACGCTTTCAAAGCTGTAGTGTGGGTTTAGGCTACATATGACCTGTCTTTTTAATTCATATATTGATGTGGATGGTAATACATATGTTAAAAAACTCTTCGGTAAGGTTCTTTCAGTCTTTCTTGAGTAGTCTCAGATAAGATTCTGTGATTCAGTGGGGCACCTGGCTGGCTCAGTTAGTTGAGCGTCCAACTTAGGCTTGGGTCACGATCTCAGTTTGTGAGTTCGAACCCTGTGTCAGGCTCTGACGCTTTGTCTCTTTCTATCTCAAAAATAAACACTAAAAACACTGGTTCTATGATTCAGTTCTGGGGACTCCCTCAACGTCCAAATCTATAGCAAAAAGTGTTAATTTTTTTTTAATGTTTATTTATTTTTGAGACAGAGTGTGAGCAAGGAAGGGACAGAGAGAGACGGAGACACAGAATCTGAAACAGGCTTCAGGCTCTTAGCTGTCAGCACAGAGCCCTATGCGGGGCTCGAACCCACGAACCTCGAGATCATGACCTGAGCCTAAGTTGGACGCTTAACCAACTGAGCCACCCAGGCACCCCAGGTGTTGTTAATTTCAATGCATCTAAAATGCCACCGATTTTTAAGATGCATCCCAGTTTCAGATACATTAAACTATGAAAAAATGTTATGGAATCATGAAATACTGGCAAGTTCTTTTATGCCTTTGTCATGTTTATATACCCGGTTTTCCCAAATGAATTTCATATTCTGTCTCTTCTTACCCACAGTGAGATTTGTAATGTGACTTCATCCATTTCCTGAATTTTCTCAGTGTATCAATTACTCCCAAGTATATGAAATTGAAGTTTTATTAGAGCAGCTTACCTTGTAACATAATGCTGATACCTTTTTCTTTTTTTCAGGCTGACACCAACAAAGATCGTATTGACATTGCCAATGCCAGAGCAAAGAAACTCATTGACAGCTAAAGCTGCTGCTGTACTTCTTATCATTTATTCACTTCTCTAGCTCCTCCTTCAAAGTCATGAACTTTTCAGAGTTTGAAGTTTTGGTTCCATGCTCTTCTAATCAGGAGATAATGTGCAAGAAGGGCTAGGAGTACAGACCCCAACTTTTTATGTTCTCTTTTCCCTTGAGGGTAGACTACTGCTCAGCCTTCCTTTTAGTATTTTTTTCCCTGGGTTTATACTTAGATTGGTTTTTTACATCATATATAGTGTTCTTTGTCATCCTTCCGATTTACTTCAGCAGGTTCTTCTGCTTTCAAGATTTGGAAGCATTGCCAAAGACAGCCATGAAAAAGGAAGCTGGAAGCAGGGAGGGGGGCAGCAAGGAGGAGAGGCAAGAGATAAGTTGTTACCTCAGGAAAACCTGCAGGCCACAAAGCATAAGTTGCAAAGCCACAGTAAAGATCTAGTTGGGTTTAGTTTTTAACTTAAGGTGCCATTATTGCCAATTAGGCTAATAATTGGTTTCAGAGCTTTTATGCACAAAATTTGTTATACATCACAACTTGGCAACCTCTGTTCTAAAAAAAATAGAATGAATTTTCTTAAAGTGAGCTTAGTTCTGAACCTTCGGTGATTCATGTATGTACATAGATACTCTGATCCCATTTCATATTGTACCATATAGGAACACTTTGTGTAAAAGAATGGCTTTTTATTTTCACATTATTAGTACTGCCATTGTCCCATTACGTGCCTATTAACCTCATAAAATTGTCATTGGTTTTTGAAGAAAAAATATGTAAATATGTATGTATATCATAAGGATATCTCTCTCAAGCAGGGCCTAAATTTTTTGGAAAGTTTGACAAAGTAGATCACGTGAATTCAAATTTACCTCAATGCCAAGAATTATGTTTGGATAGGAAAAAAAGAAACGTGTTTTGATCTCAGGCAGAAAAATAGTTATATTACTTTGAGTTGTTTATAGCTTTAGACTTTACAAAAGCTAGAATTTATTCTGTTTAGAAGTGATTTGGAAAATTATGCTTTTGTTTTAATTATTGATTATTGCACTATCATTCAACTAGCCTTATGGATTGAATTATGTCCAGAATCACATTTATTTAGATCCTGAACAGTGTTATAAGAATCTGATTGGTATTTGTTACCTTTATGTAAAAGACTAGTATCTGCACACTTTAAAGTTATTAATGTGGATTGGTTTGACCAATAACCACTGCTTGATATTTACAATTAAATTTTATAACCAATGGAATTGTTCTTTCAAATAGGTAATGTGTTTCTGTAGAGGAACGGGGGAGGGGAGGTCAATAATTTCACCAGTTCTTATCAAATTGAATAAAGCAAAAGTCCATAAATCAAGAAGCACTCCAATGGAAAGCTGCCTTTATCACCTTTCCCATTTTTTATTGGAAGTACTGACAGGACTTTTCTTCCTATGACTTGTTATGAGGTTCATTTTAATTATTGTTAGTCTCTTACTCATTTGAGCGTAAAAACACCAGTGACTGAAAGGATGTTTATGAGCTAGAACTATGACCACTTACTGAAGATTATATTAACATGAGGACATTCATAGGCTGAAGAGGAAAGGATTTAAAGTGAGAATCAGGCACTCTAGAATAGAAATGCTTCATGCCAGAGGAGTGGTTTGGCAGGTGGTGGTAAATGTGTAAGGTAAGAAGGTATAAAACACTGGGGATTGTGTTGTACCTAATTGCCCTTAGAGCTTTAAAAATTTTTTTTTATATTATGGCTAAAGGCAGTATCTCTGAGGATACCTAAATGCTGCCAACACAATATAGTTAGAAGGCACTCAACTTTGTCTGAATTTACATTCTACTACTTGCTGACTGAGACTGCAAGCCCATTTCTGTGCCTCCGTTTCCTTGTCTATAAATGGGGATTAATAATTCCTACTCCATAGAGTTGGTGCAAGAGCTCAATGTGATGTATGTAAAGTGCTGAGAGCAGCACCCAACAAATATAAGAGCTTAATAAATTATAGTTGCTATTCTCTTTTGGGTGGAGCTCTTTGTGAATTCCTTTGTGAATTTGATGAAAGACATGATAGTCTATCTCCCCAGAGAAATAAACACAAGCATGAATCATACATAAATAAGAATCTTGCATCAATGGGTCTTGAAAGCCCATCTATGGATCCCAGGTTACAAAATCTTCCAAAGCTTCTGCTAAGAAAGAAGAGGATGAAGCAACAGAAATTAGGTCCATGATGCACTAGAAATAGATCCTGTTGGCTTAAAGCCTTCTCTGATTTTCTCATGTAACATTGTCTGGAAACTTGTTACCATTACTTTTGAAATGTAGTAACTGAAAGTGGTTAATACAAGCTCCAGAGTCTGACTATCTGCTTTGAAATTTCGCTTTGGTCATTTACTTGTATGACTTTGAGCATAACACTAACCTACAAGTAAGAAGTTCAAAAATAGTATTCTCCCCGAATGTAATTTTTTTTAATGGTAAGCTCTTCCAGTTTCCAATCTTAGAATAACAATTATGTTTATCCCCAATAGTTGTGCCTATTTTTTCTTCCTTCATCCTTGTTATTATACTTCAACTCTAGAACTTTTCATGTCATGTATGAATTATGAATCTCCTCCTAACCCAAACATTCTATACTCAGTAGCACTCAGAATTCATTCTTTTTTTATTATTAGTTTTTTGAGAGAGAGATACTGTGTGTGTGCGTGCAAGGTGGGGTGAGAGGGGAGAATCTTTGGCTCCACACCCAGCACCCAATGTGGGGCTCGACCTTGAGACCACACCTGAGCCTAAACCCGGAGTGACGGTTAGCCAAATGAACTACCTAGGGACCCCAAAATTTGTCTCTTTAAATGTTATTTTCTTTGGGTCACTCTTACTAAAATCCCAGGTTATCCAATTATATTCCTAATCAGATTTGTATTTTTCAGATTGATATTCAAGTTCCTTATTCTCTAGTCATTTATTTTCATCCCTTTAAATATAGTATTTGCTGCAAGCCTTCTATTTCTATACAACTTGTTAACTTCTATTTTAATGCCTTACAGATGAAATAAATGGCACCATTTATTGCTTACTCTGTTGTGGGCACTCTGCTAAATGCCTTTATGAATCTTTTTATCATATCCTCATACCTGAAAGGTTAGAGCTATTCCCCATATGACAGATGAAAATAAATTGCTCTATTCTCATGTGTAAGTGACAGACTGTGGATTCAAGCCAGGATCTTTCTGACTCCAAGGCCCATGATCTTAATATACTACAGTGACTTCCAACCAAACTCTAAAAGAATGTGGGTGACTTGGGGCTGGTGGCCAAACTAGAATATGGGTCTCCAGACCACACACTAGTAAACCAACTCCGTTATGCTAGCTCATAAATAAGTCTAAATACTCGTGCACTATAAATCTGGACATGTTACTTTACATAGTTCCTGCCCACAAGTAGCTCATTCTAACAAGTGACAGATGAATATAGAATGTGAGAAGTGCTATCATAACAGATGGGGGATTAAGTAATTTGGCTTAGACTTAAAATGGGTTTTAGACAGGAGCATGTTAGATGGCATTTCTGACTGAGCAAACAATGTAAAGGCAAATTACAGGAGAAACCCTGCACTGTAAGGAGCAGAATAATCTGGTATGACTGAGCAGGCAAATGAGAGTGAAGAAGGGCTATCTGGAAATAAGGCTGGGTCCAAGTTAGGAAGGCTAGCAGTCACTGATTCTCAGAGAGGAGGGATTCTTTTTAATTCCAATTAATAATTGAATGGGGACATTTAAATTGTTTATAAGTTCTGGTTTATTAGATGTTAAGTACTGATAAAAAATTTAGAGAAACCTTGTTTAGTAGATCAAAAAGGTTAAGCATTAAAGTTTATAAAAAGCAAAACTCAATTGCTAAATGATAAACTGGCAGCCCATCCGTCCCCATGTTGAGAAACAGAAAATAACATGGAAAATAGAGAATATCCAGATCAGATTTAGGGTCAGAGAGACTTCTCCGTATAAACACTAAGCTGTTGTGATCTGTTAGCTTAATGGTTAAACTATGTTTATAAAAGAACTGACAATACATGCTAAATTGCCCTGAGAAAGACAAAACTTCAGAAAATTACAGGGTGGTAGTTATCTAAATGTTCATGTCATTAATGACCTGAAATCATATACCTGTGTAAATTTTTAGTTTCTCTTAATAAGCATGGTTCCAGTTCACAGCAGCACTCTCAACAATAGCTAAAACATGGAAAGAGCCTAAGTGTCCATCTACGGACGAATGGATCAAGAAGATGTGGTTTATCTGTACCATGGAATACTACATGGCAATGAGAAAGAATGAAATCTGGCCATGTGTAGCAACATGGATGGACCTTGAGGGAGTTATGCTAAGCAAAATAAGTCAGGCAGAGAAGGACAGATATCATGTTTGCACGTATAGGAGGGTTAGGAGGAACTTAACTGAGGAACAAGGGGGAGAAGGAGGAGGGAAATGGAGGGGGAAAGGGAGAGAGGCAAACCATGAGAGACTCTCGAATGCTGACAAAAACTGAGGACTGATGGATGTGGTGGGGAGGGGGGATGGGCATGGAGGAGGACACTTGTGGGGATGAGCACTGAGTGTTATGTGGAAACTAATTTGACAATAAACTATTTGTAAAAAGTAAATAAATAAAATTTCTTAAACGTATTCTAGGAAAAAAAAAAGCATGGTTCCAGTGTGGCAAAATGAAATGCTTATCAATCACATGAAGGCATTTCAGTACTACTGCAACCTTAACAAGAACATGAAACATTTCCTAATCACTTTACTTTCAAACAAAGGACCACATACAGGTTAAATTTTCTGTCTTTTTCCTCTGATGGAAGAAGGATTAACCCTTTTTCCAGCCAAAGTTCATTAAAAATTCTTTATTTAGTATATTCTCTCACCCAGAGAATAAGCTTTATAAACATTATTTTAATATATTATACAGGTAGTTTTTTGATTGGTAATTTGATTAGTAGAATTATAAATACAAAAAGGGAAATAAGACATTATTTCTAACAAAATTTTGGGAAAATCTTGATTATTAAAACCCTTTGTATCTTAGAGGTTTTGCATATATGGTTTTAGCTCTTCAGAGCCCTCGACCAATAAGGCACCTGCAATAGTAAAAAATTTGCTACTGCAGCCTTGGGGCATATCTCTTAGTGTTGTATTGGTACTTCTCTGACAAAGTACACTTTTAATCAAGACAGACAGTCACATATTTATGTACGTTCTACATTCCAAGTATAAACACTGCAATTAAACGGATGGACAAATAAAATCATAAATCCTTAGATTATCCATAGTAGCCTCTCGCAAATTATTTGAATTTCATAAAAATACAAAATGTTAACACAGGTGGAATGGCAATCAACTTTATGAAAGCTCATACACTGAAACTAAACATGAAATTTCAAGCTGTCATATGAAGGGATTCTGTTACTAGGCAGCACCCCTTCACTATATAAATAGCAACGTGCTACTGGTTTCTTGAAGTCAGACTAATGATGGTTTTGATGATCAACATTGTCTCTGCCCTATCCATGACTCAAAGTGGAAGACTCAGAAATTACTGTCTCTTGATTTCTTTTAGCTTACTTAAGATGAGTCCTAGAAAGGAAAAAGATCACTGTGCAAAACGTAATCTGGAGTATCATCTCCTTACTGCAGATAATCCTTCACAACAATAGGAGACTCTGGTTCAGCAACAGATTCCAAGTCAGTGTCCTATATGGTTCCCATGCTCCTGGAGAACATCATGCAAACTTCTTCTTAGTGGCTGTGAACCTCTCCATGTACTAAAAATCATGAAAGAAGAATATGTGGTATCTTGGCATAAGCAAATATTCGCCTATTTTCTAATTAGGATTTTTTATTTTTTACTAATTAGGATTTTTAAAAATTTTTATTTATTTTGAGAAAGCATGTGTGAGAGAGAAAAGCAGGGGGAGTGGCAGAGAGAGAGAGAGGGAGAGGGAGAATCCCAAGCAGGCCCCATACTTAGTGCAGAGCCCAATGTGGGGCTTGATCCCATGACAAGGAGATCACAACCTGAACTGAAATCAAGAGTCAGACTCAACCAAATGATCCACCCAGCCTCCCCTAATTAGGATTTTATATGATTTTTTTTTCATTTAGGTTTTTACTGGATAAGTTCTTTTTCATTGCCTGAAAAATCAACCTATTGTAAGTGCAAATATAAAGCACATAGTTTTTGGGGTTTTTTTTTTCTTTCACATACATTTTAATAGGGACACCCATCAAAAGACAAAGATCTTTTTAATAAGCTATCTGGACGAAAAGTGGTCTTGGCACAATACCATTTGGCTGGTTCTTAGAATCCACCTCCAATTTGGGGGACAAATCCTGTTAACAAACAGGATTATGCACATATCCTGTAGCTATACATTCATGTGGATTACTTCACTGTCCTCTCCGGAACAGTGATGAAGTACACTAATACATACCTTATCATAGCCTTCCAATTCTCGAAGTTTCTTTATTTCAAAAAGGTTGCCTTCCACAGCAAGCAGACAAATCTGGGAGTCACTGAGGATGCTCTGTGGAAGCATGCTGAGCTCAAGACAATTCTCTTCTAGGCGAAGAACTTTAAGACGAGGACAGCAAGATATCTTTACTGAGATCTGAGATATCTATTGAACAACAACAAAAGAGAGTCATAGGAAAAAGCAAAAGCACTACTATAATGGTTATTTTTACTAAATCAAAACAAAAACGTGATCATTTGTCCCAGTTCTTTCTTTTACCGCCTCCATTTTCTCACTACCTACTCATTCCTGAAGCCTGTGTTAATCCAGCTTGTTACTCCTCCTCCACTTATTTGGAAAAAAGATGCCTTTTGAAGGTCACCAGTGGCTTTTTAGAAACAAAATGTGCTAATAAAAGCACTGTTTATTATAGAAAATTTGAGAATCACATAAGTTTAAAGAAAAAAGTCACCTCCAATCTGCCATCATAAACATTTTGGTGCAATCTTTATAGATGTTGACCACTATGCTATCAAAGTCAAGGATTCACTGTACTCATTCCCTGTTGGATTTGCTACCACTTCTTTGGAACTCTCTCTTGTACCTAAGTACTAGGTTTGATCTTTTTCAAGTCCATCCTTAAAGCCATTACTTCTGTTAAGACCTGAAAGTCTGTATCTACATTCATATCTGCTTACATCTAGTCTACTCCTGCATGTCCAACTTTTTTTTAAGAAATTGTTTTTGTTTTTTTTTTTTTACTTTATTTTTGAGAGAGCGAGAGAGAGAGACAGAGTGGGGAGGGGCAGAGAGAGAGAGAGAGAAACAGAATCTGAAACAGGCTCCAAGCTCTGAGCTATCAGAACAGAGCCCCACGTGGGGCTTGAACTCATGAATCATGAGATTTGGACTGAGCTGAAGTTGGTCGCTTAACTGACTAAGCCTCGCAGATGCCCGTGTGTCCAATTTTTAGTAAAACGTTTCTATTTGCATGAGTCACCATCATCATAATCAATTTAGCATGCTCATTCTCAGTAGGCACTTTTAGGCACTCAAGCAACTGTCTCTGATTTCACTCACCTCTTGCCCTTTAAATGTACCAAATTATATTTGCTCTGCCTGGTATCATTTCAGACCATCATGTGGGAACTTGATAGAAATGTAAATTCTCAGACCCCACCCCAGACCTAAGGAACCTGAAAACACTGAGGGTAGGGACCCAGTGATCTCTTCACCAGCTCTTCTGGTTAATCTGGTGCACACTAAAATCAGAACCAGTAATTATAGGGCATCAGCCTAGGTGAATGGAATGAGTGTGCAACTAGTACTTCTTGTTGAACAATGTTTTTCCAAAAGTTTTTTCAAATATAATTCCCCCCCCCCAAAATCTCAAGAACGTATAAGAATAAAGGAAAAGGTGATGCCATAGAGATAGACTGGATTTCATAATATAAGATTACTACAATCTAGAACAGTTTTGTACAATAAAAATTTGCAATGATTGAAATGTTCTATATGTCGCCAATAAGGTAGCCACATATGGCTTTTGAGCACTTGAAATACAGCTAGAGGCCTCAGGAAATCTAGAAGTGTAGGCACTAAATAAACTAAAGCGCACCTCTCACTATGTTTAATGTTTCATCATTTAAGACTTTTTTTTTTTAATGTTTTATTTATTTCTAGGAGAGAGAGAGAGAGAGAGACAGCGCGAGCAGGGGAGGGTCAGAGAGAGAGGGAGTCACAGACTGAAACAGGCTCCAGGCTCTGAGCTGGCAGTCAGCACAGAGCCTGACGCGGGGCTCGAACCCACGAACCGCGAGATCATGACCTAAGTGAAAGTCGGACGCTTAACCGACTAAGCCACCCAGGCGCCCCTCATCATTTAAGACTTACGTCTAGACCAAAGATTATTTCTCCAGTCAGATGCATATTAACCAGAGTTTCCAAAGTAATGGAAACAAATTTCAAATACTAAAATTAAAGCTGTCCAATAATGAAATGGGCTATTGCCAGAAAGCCTGTCAGAGATGATGTTTAGTAAAAGCAGGACACACTTGACAAAGATGTCAAAAAAGGGACAAGGAATTATCTCTGTTGTCCAACTCCAAGAATCTATGAAGTAAAACCTTTTTTCTACTCTACCTGACACAGCTCCTTGCTAGATGATTAGAGGCATATTTGGGGAGGATCTGAAGAATTCTTCAAGATCTGTGAGACAGTAGTTTAACTTTTGAAATTATCTCACCCCGTTACCCATCTTACTCTCTTAAAAACACCTGTAAAGCAAACACACCCAGTGTCTCAACCAATTCCATAGCACTTTGGGCTTTAAAATTAGTACAGCCTTGGGGCGCCTGGGTGGCTCAGTTGGTTAGGTGTCCAACTTCGGCTCAGGTCATGATCTCACGGTTTGTGGGTTCAAGTCCCACATCAGACTCTCTGCTGATAGCTCAGAGCCTGTAACTTGCTTCAGATTCTGTGTCTTTCTCTCTCTCTGCCCCTCCCCTGCTCTCATTCTCTCTCTCAAAAATTAATAAATATTAACCAAAAAAAAGTTTTTAACAACAACAAAAAAATTAGTACAGCCTATAGACTGTACATCTCATCTAGCCTCATACCCAGCTCCACGATTACAGTTTAGAGAACAACAGATTATACAGGAGACTATAACCCACATGATGTAGGAAAGTAACTCTTAAACTCTAGACCTGGTTCTGGTTGAGATTGAGTTCGATGACCTGCAGCTCCCCCACTATGTCAGGTATGCTCCGAATCTGGTTCTTGGAGAGATCCACCACATCCAAGTGACGGAGGCTACAGAGTTGTGGTGGGAGGGCTCGCAGCTGGTTCCCAGAGAGGCTCAGGGTCTTGAGGGCTGACAGTTGTCCAAAGGTAGACGGTACCTCTCTCAGGTGATTGTTGTTTAGGCTTAGCATCTCTAGCTTTTTCAGATTACATAATTCATCAGGAAGAACAGCTGGCAATGAAAAAATTAAAAACCTGAATCTGATACAGCTGAAAAACACTTTTGATGAAGTTTACAAAAACTCTATGGCCAACTGATATACCTCCTGTTAATACACATAGAATTCCTACACGTTGTGCCATTTTTAAGTATTGCATTTTTACCAACACAGTCTTCAGAAAGTGAGGGTGTCATCAAAATTCAGGAAAGCATTTATGTGTATATTGGGCTCTGATTGTAAAGGGAGCTCCGCATAATCCGACAGCAATTTTGCGGATTTGTAAGGCCCTCCCCTTCCCATTCCATCCCCCTTTCTAAATAGCAGCAAAATTAGCTGTTTACATTACATCCTAAAGATGGTCTTCCCTTTGAAGTCCAAATTAAGTCAGTACCAATCGTTATACCACCAGAGAAGGCTTGTAGATGTAATTACAAGAGATAGCTTTAAGGACTCTGACTTCTCCTGCGTCTTGAGCTCTCAGAACGGTTTCATAACAACAACAAAAACATCAGCTTGTAAGAGAAAACCACCCTTCTTAACAGCTGATCACTAGCAAAAGCTTCCCAGGCGCCAAAGCCATACTCAGTTTGTTGTTGTTCAAGGAGAGGCTCTTCAGCAGAGTGAACTTCCCTATAATCATAGGCGGTAGGCTCTCGATCTTGTTGTTGGACAAGTCGATGGTCCTTAGATTGCTGGTCAGCTTCTGCAACTCTGAGGGGAACTGGAGAAAGGGGTTCACAGCGCAGAGTCCCTCACCGAATAACTTCACCGCCCCCACCGTCCCTCTCCCTTTAAATTCCCTGGTCGGTCCCCTCCCAGTCTCACCTCGGTCAGCCCGCGGTCCTTAAGCTGAAAGACACCAGTTTTCTGCGCGGTTTCCACATGAGCGCGGAGGGCACTGTTACCCATCCTAGGGCCGCGGCTTGGGTCCCTGAGGAAAGGAAACGCAGCTGTCACCGATCAGTCCAGGCACCTAGCCACCCCATCCGCCTCTGGGCTGGTCTCATTCCCAAGCCGTCACCTCCTGCAGACTCCTAGACTTGGGGGCCAACTAAAAGTGGCAAGGAAGAAAAGGGAGAACAGAGAGCCCGACCACCAGGTCCAGCAGCTTTCACAGCTGTTCCGAGGTTGGACGCCGCCGGAGCCTACGAATGCTCAGAGAGCGCCGGACTCGCCTCCTACCCTTCAGCTCACAGACGGCTCTGCAAGTGAAGACTCGCGGCCCGCGCTCTCCCGCGATGCGCTCCCCGGGCTTCCGCCCGGGGAGAAACGCCCTGTGACATCATCGAGCTGCGCGGCGCGTTCGATGTGCGATCCCCTCACTCGTCGCGCCGACCCGGGGGGTGGCTTCCAACCATGGCTGCTGCGAAGCCTTGGGACTGTGCGGCAGAGCCAAATGCTGCGGCGCTACTGCTGGACCGTTTCGTAGCTTCGGGACTGGTCACTAAGGTGCGTGGGCGGCGATGGCGTCATTAAGGGGGTGCCGACGGTGGCAACAGAAGATGGCTGTGAGGTGGTGGCGCTGGGCCGCGGTGCTGTGTGTGAGAGTGCTGGCTAGGGGCCGTACTGTAGTAGAGGCCGGTGGAGACCCTTCCAGGCAACAGTAGTGACCGTTCTGCAGTGGTTGTGCAAAGCCGGGCTCCAAGAAGGTGATATTTCAAGTGTATGCGGGCGAGGTATCCTCGGTCAATTCCTGAGAGACAATAAAGACCAGTCTTCCCGGCTTTTTCTCACCCAGGGATACCGCCTCTACATTGTATTGGGCGCCAGGGCTAGGGAATACGAATAACTCATTACAACACAAGCGTTCCCAAACGCTTGTCGGTGTGAGGTATTGAAGCATATTTGGGGCGGGAGGTGCTGGGTATAGGAGAACGTCAGGGGGAGCACGCTTTTTAAAGGCAATACATATATACATACATATATAGGTACATACATACGAAAAAGACCCGAAAGACCTTGGAATGTGAGTGGAGGAGAGAGAGAGGAGGCAGATTGGCCCCGGGCGCTCAACTAACTGAGGCATCCAGGCGTCCCTGCCTTAGCAGTTTCAGGTTTGGCAAGAACATGTTCATATGCCAAAAGGAAGGAGCCAATAGAGGGAAAAATTAAAGATGTTAGGGAATAATGGAATACGAGTGGCAGAAGTGACAAAGGAATGGGGAAAGTGAGATTGAAGGAAAACATTTTTGAGATATCGAGCAAGTTGAGGATTTTGGCTAAAAAGCAAGCCGAAAAGTGCAAAGGTAAAATAATCCGTAGAGATTAGCAGTATGAACATGATGTAAGATTTATGGAAAATACACAACTTTGTATATTTAGAAGAATTATTAGAGAATTCTACCGTACCCTATTTTTATATGTTTTAAGCTTATTTATTTATTTGAGAAAACACACCAAGTTTTATTGGGGGAAGGGAAATATTTACAGGTGCAAGTAAAGAGAGAGGAGTTACAAAGGGTGGGGGTGGGGGAGATGGTGGGCCCAGGGCAGTTTATTTAATTTGAGAGAGACAGAGACAGCACTAGCAGGGGAGGGGCAGAGAGAGAGAATCACAAGCAGGCTCTGCACTGACAGTGCATAGCACCTTGTGTGGCTCAGGCTCAGGAAACCGGGGTATCATAACCTGAGCTGAAACTGAGAGTTGGACATTCAACTGACTGAGGCATCCAGGGGCCCCTACCATACACTATTTTTAAGAGGAAGAAAAACTAAGGCCTCAGAAGACCAAGAAGTTTATCCAAGGTCACTCAACTAGTGAAATAGATCACAGAGCGCTGCCTTTTCTAGTCTGTTGTATCTATCATAGCTCTGAGATGAACTGTGATAGATGATACTGTCAAAGTATCTGGAAAGAGATTAAACTTCTGTTGAAGTCTTGTAGATTACTTGAGGCTGTAGTAACTAAACCTTATGGATTTGGGGGAAGGAAGGGGGTACAAATGAAGGCATTGGAAAACAGGCAAAACCTAACTACAGCACTCCCCAGTTCTCACCTTCCTCTTTTTTCTCCTGGGTTTTATTCTTACCAGATTGTCTAGTAGTCTGACTTGTATTGTTTAGTTCTTTTTTTTTAAATTTTTAAATGTTTATTTATTTTTGAGAGATAGAGACAGTGCAAGTGGGGGAAGGGTAGAGATAGAGAGGGAGACAGAATCTACACAGGCTGCAGGCTCTGAGCTGTCAGCACAGAGCCTGACGCGGGGCTCAAACTCAGGACTGGCGAGATCATGACCTAGGCAAAAGTCAGACGCTTAACCAACTGAGCCACCCAGGTGCCCCTGCATTGTTTAGTTCTGTAACAAAGTAATTTGATAAACTCATACTGTAAGACATTTGGGAGTTATCCCTCTAGAGTGTATTGGTAGAAGAAATAAACATCTGAGAGAATTTTAGGTGTTGATAAGTAACCTGTTTGTTGGAGTGGAAGTTGTTTTGGAGAGGATCTTCCTGGTGTCCTTCAAGTAGCACTAATTAGACATTTCGTTTATTTGTTTCATCTTCATTAAGTCTATTTGCTCACCCTTCTCCTTCACTGCCTCCCAATTATTCAGCAAATATCTACTGACTACCACGGAGAGGCAGAATAGTGTGGTGGTGAGGACAGCTAGCTGTGGAGCCAGACTGTGAGTGTTCAGAGAACAGCTCTATCACTTTAGACCTGTTCCAATTACTCCATCTCCTAAAAAGGAAAGGGGGGGTGTTAATATTACCTACTTTATTGGATTACACAAAGATTAAAGAGATTATATGTGTAAATGGCCAAGAGGACAATTCCTAGAATATGGCCCATACTCAACAGATACTAGCTATGACCATCTCTATTCTCATCATTTACATGCGCTGGAGAAGAAGTGAAAGATTTGTAGAAGATCTGCAAGGGTCTAGTTAGGCTGCTGATAGCCAGAGCAATGGAACAGCCAAGGGCCAGAGGAGCCAAAGTGAAGGACAAGTAAAAGGAAACTTTCAGATGGGGGTAAATGAGAAAGTATAAGGCTCTCTCTTGTTGAGAAAGGGAAGGGGTAGAGTAGTCAAGGAGCTGGGCCTACATCACACAAAGGAGAGGGAAAAGAGTCACAGTTTTTAGCACTACAAGCTTCTTAGATACTAGATAATTCAGATAATTAAGAATATCTTAATTAACTTAGATACTAGATAATTAAGAGAAGATGGATTTTAATGTAGCCAAGATGGATTTGCTTACAGGTAAGATCTGCCGATCCATACCTCTTTAAGACCATCTTAAAATCATATATGTTATATGATCTCTTTAGTCTATCCCTTAAGTACATATCATCCCATGTGCATTAAAAATTAAGGGTAATTAGGGGTGCGTGGGTGGCTCAGTTGGGTAAGTGTCCAACTTTGGCTCAGGTCATGATCTCTCAGTTCTTGAATTCGACCCCTGCATCAGGCACTGTGCTGACACCTCAGAGCCTGGAGCCTGCTTTGGACTCTTTGTCCCCCTCTCTCTCTGCCCCCCACTGCTCACACTCTGTCTCTCCCTCTCTCTAAAAAATAAACATTAAAAAAATTTTTTTAATTAAGAGTAATGCTTAAAATTGCTATATGATACAACTGTTCCAGAAAACATAATTTGTTTGAACTTTATTCTGTTTTGATCTATACATTGGGGGATGATTTAGTGAAAAAAAAGTATGGGTAACTATAGGATAAATGGGGTATTTGCTTTGATATATGCCTGAGGATGGCTTTAGTGGCCTTACGTCCCACATATTTTTCTGGCAAGATTTAGTGAGTCATGGCAGCTCTATTGAATACACACACACACACACACACACATACACACACACATATATAGATAGACCTATATATCTGTTATTTTCTCAGTGTTACCCTCTGTAGCCCCTCCCCCATTTTAAAGCCTCTACTCTTAACTCTGCTCTACTGTCTCCCTTTTAATGTCCCTCAACTAGAATTCAGTATCAAGTAGAAAGGACCAAAAAAAAAAAAAAAGAAGAAGAAGAAAGGATGCCCACAGACATAAGTTTATACATGTATATATTATGTACACAATGTTATCGGGTTCTTTTTTTCTTTCTTAGAAGGGTAGCGGGGGGTGGGGAGATGGGAGAGAATGAGTCTTAAGCAGGCTCCACTCTCAGCTCAGAGCTGGACTCAGGGCTCAATCTCACAACGCTGGGGTCATGACCTGAGCCAAAACCAAGAGCCACTCAACTGACTGAGCCATCCAGGCGCCCCAGGATTTTTGTATTACACATAATAGTCTTGGATTTCAGTTTCTTGTGCCTAGCAACAGAATGAACAGAAATACCCTAAACAGATTCCCTTTTTCAGAATCCTTTCATTTTCATTGTCCCTTTACCCTACTGGCATATAAAGTGTATAATATATAATGGCAGTCATTAACAGTGAAGACGTTTCTGTATTCCCCAATCCTTGCCTTTTTTCCTTTTCTTTTTGTTTTTTTAAAGATAGAGGGCTAAGTCACAATCCTCAAAAAGTTAGAATTTCTATTTGTAGAACTAGAAACAGAATTTCTATTTCTAGAGGAATTTGGCTACTCTTTCTTTCCTCTTTCCTTTTGGCTCTCCCTTGAACATTCTTATTTTTCCACTGGTTTCTCTTGCATGTTTTTGGCTAAGCTCCATTACCCTGTGGTTGAACCCAACAGTTTACTAGTTTGCCATGTGTGTGGTTAAGATTAGACAGGGAGGGATGGAGAGATACCAGAGAACGAGTAAGTTACAGTGAGAAATGCGAGATGTTTTACTTTCATTTACCTTCTACTTATGGTAGAAGAAGTGGTTTAGATTTGTCCTCATTTCAGCAATGATATACATTTATAGAATGAAGCTGAACTAATACTTTACTCCCTCAATCCTCAGTTTTACCATCAGTAAAATATCTTGTGTTATCTTCTTCATTGAATGGCATATCTGTCTGTCCAGTCACTGGAGCCAGAATCATTGTAGTCAGCACTGACTTGACTTTATCCCTGGTACCTCATTATCAACTAGGATTTATGAATTTCATCTCTCCAGGAAATCACATCTATGCCTTCCTTTCCTATTTTTTTTAAACATGTATTTATTAATTTTTAGAGAGAGCACGAGCTTCAGTTGGAGAGGGGAAGAAAGGGAGAGAGAAAAAAATCTCCTGGGAGGCCAATGTGGGACTTAAACTTAAAAACTGAGATCATGACCAGAGCCAAAATCAAGAATCAGACGCTTATCCCCCTAAGCCACCCAGGCATTCTCTTCCTTCCTTTTTAACTGCTACTGACCTAGTCCACATTCTCATCTTCTCACCAGGAATGCTGTAGTAGCCACTTGTCTAAATATTCAACCTCCAGTCCCATCTCTCCCTTCGTTTTTGTTTTTGTTTATTTCGTTGGCTAGTTGCCAGAATTATGGGGTTTTATTGTGGTAAAGTATGCATAACATAAAATTTACCATTTTAACCACCTTAAAGTCTACAGTTCAGTGGCATGATACAGTCATAATGTTGTGAAAGTATTTTCAAAACTCTTTTATTTTTACCATACCCAGTGGGAACCCCATACTCATTAAGTAGTCATTCCCCATTCCTTCTTTAAGTTTCTAAAATATGTATTATATGATCATGTTACTTCTTCACCAGAAGACTTTCAATTGCTCTCATTTTCTGATTTATTAAGATCTTCCATGATGACACAGGAAACTGCACTTCTAGATTCGTCGTCTTCTTCTCACATATGTGTTAGTACGAGAATACCTTTTCCTTTTCATCCATCATGAGCTTATTAAAGGACAGAGAGCTTATTTCATTCATCCTTGAATCTTCCATGGCCTAACTCAATAAAAGCTTGTAAAATTGGTTATCATTGGTCAGCAAACTTTTACTATTAAAGGCCAGAGGGTAAGTATCTGAGGATTTTAGATCCATATGGTTGCAGCTGGGCTGTGGTAGTGTGAAAGAAGCCAGTGTAAATGAATGTAAATTCAGTGTAAATGAATGGGTGCAGTTGAGTTTATTCTGGATCCTGAAATTTGAAATTCATGTAGTTTTCATGTGTCACAAAATACTGTTTTTCTTTTTATTTTTCCCCAACATTAAAAAATATAAAAACCATTCTTAGCTTATGGACTGCACAAAAGCAAACACTTTGGTTCATTTAGTTCATTCATGAGCTTTCATTTCTCACTCCTTTGCCTATAAGATCTCTAAAATTTTTCCTGTGCTATCATTCTTGAAAAGAAGAAAAGGATACAGAAAATTATGAAGTCAAGGGATGAATAATATTCTTACTCTGAAGCAACCTGCAACTTAAAAAGACTAAAATTGCAGGCAGTATTTTGCAAAGAATGAAAAGATGAAGAGGGGGTAAGCTTTTTAGAAAAATAATTACACCTGAATGAAATATTCCTTTATCTAAGAGAGTGAGAATGTGAAAAGACACAGGATGAATGACTTCTAGCCATTAGAGGTCCTTTAGTGCATCAGATAAGTGATTCCATGGTGGGGAATTCTTTGATGTTAGCTGCAGGAAGGTCAGAGACTAGGTCTTGGTGATTTGTGTAGAGGTGACTCTCCAACAACCTCAGCCTCCACCGTCTTACCATTAGCAGCCTTCTCTGATAAGCTGTCACTAATACAAATGTAATGTGCATGGTACTTTAGGAACTAGTACATAGTGATTAAGTCTTGTTTTTCTTATTTTTTAAGTATTTGGGCAAAGGATTTGTGATAGTGAAGATTTTAAAAACAGGAAATATACATTGCTACTGTTACACTTCAGTACTTCATTTTTCAGGGACAGTGTTGCAAATAATAAATCCTCTTGTTTTATGCATGTGGGTATGCTGTTCCAAGGCACACAGAAACTTTTTTATGTGACATACTGCTGCCTTCTTTGTTCACTTACCAATAGGAAATGTTAAATATATCTAAGAAGTCAGCTTCCTGCTTTGTGAACTTCTCCAGACTACAGCAGATCACAAATATTCAAGCTGAAATCTACCAGGTAAATTTTGTTGGACTTTTTGCTTTCTGCTTCTAGTACAAGAAAAAAAAATCGTACTGGATTCCAGCAGTAGTTCTCTTACACTTAGAATAGTGTCTAGTACATAGCTGAATAGGTGTTTATTTATGTAGTAATAGTCATAATAGTAGTTAATAGTAGTAGCAGTAGCAGAAATAGGGCTTTGAACACCAAAATGAAAACCTGCAATAAATTCCCTGGGCTCTTGTAACAAATCCTACCTCCCACCTCCCTGCCCCCACCTCTGCAGTGTTCCTAGGTTAAAGACTATCCATATTTTACCAAAATTTAAGCCTTCATGCTGCATTCCACACAAGCTAAGTGTTATTTTTCTTCCTAATGTAGAAAAACCTGGAAATTGAACTTTTAAGACTAGAAAAAGATGCAGCAGATGTTGTTCATCCTTCCTTTTTGGGTAAGTATTTGAGGAAAAGGGTAATCATTGGAATTTCAACTTTTTCTTAGATTACCTTAAATAAACATCAGGCAATAAAATTATGATATACCATAACTTTTTCAGATAAGGCCCCAAAGTTAATAAAGTCTTCTTTTCTCAAATAGAAGTCCTGTTGGCTTGACTGTACAAATAGCATAAAAAGTGACCCAGGTAGGAGTTCTTTAAATTCAGGAAAGCTTAGAGCTGTATGGGTGACCCATTAAGTTAAGCATCTGACTCTTGATTTTGCTCAGGTCATGATCTCACGGTTCCTGGAATTGAGCCTCACATCAGGCTCCATGCTGACAGTACAAAGCCTTCTTGGAATTCTCTCTCTCCCTCTGTCTGCCCCTCTGCTATGTGTGCATTCATGTTCTCTCTCTCTCTCAAAATAAATAAATAAACTTAATTTTTTTTTTTCAGGAAATCTTGAAAGACAAAGGCCGAAGAACTTTCCAGTTTAAAGGAGACTAGGGGTGCCTGTCTGGTTTAGTCAGTGGAGCATGTGACTCTTGATCTAGGGGTTGTAGCTTCAAGCCCCACATTGAGTGTACAGATTACTTAAAAAATTAGAAAAAAATCTTTAAAAAATAATAATAATTAAATAAAAATAAATAAATGATAGCCAAAGTACAGTGTGGTTATGGATTGAATACCTGATTAGAAATTTTTTTCTGGGGTGCCTGGGTGGTTCAATTGGTTAAGTGACTTTTAATTTTGACTCAGGTCATGATCTCATGGTTCATAAGATTGAGCTCTACGTTGGCCCCTGCACTGACAGTGTGGAGCCTGCTTGGGATTCTCTCTCTCCCTCTCTCTCTCCCCCTCCCCTGCTCTGCTTTCTCTCTCTCTCTCAAAATAATAAATAAACTTAAAAAAATTTTTTTTGCTATAAGGGGCATTATTGAGATACTTGGTGATGATGTGTCAATATGGACTGTATTCATTATTGGTATATTATAAAACTATTAAATTTTCTGAATTTGATACTTATAATGTAATTACATAAGAGAATGCTATTTGGGGAAATGCGTGCTGAAATTTTAGAGGTAAAAGTTCATGATATCTACAATTTACTTTTTTTTTTAACTTTTATTTATTTTGAGAGACAGAGTAAGCAGGGGAGGAGCAGAGAGAGAAGGAGACACAGAATCTGATGCAGGTCCAGGATCTGAGCTGTCAGCACAGAGCCTGACATGGGACTAAAATCCAGGAACTGTGAGATCATGACCTAAGCCAGAGTGAGATGCTTAACTGACTGAGCCACCCAGGCCCCCCTACCCTTTTTTTAAGCTTATTCATTTTGGGAGAGAGAGCAGGAGAGTGGGGTGGGGGGTGGGGGATGGGCAGAGAGAGAGAGGGAGAGGGAGGGAGAGAGGGAGAACCCCAAGCAGGCTCCATGCCTTCAGTGCAGAGCCCAACATGGGGCTCAGACTCAATAAGCGTGAGATCATGACTTGAGCCAAGATCAAGAGTGGAATACTTAACCAACTAAGCCTCCCAGGTGCCCGTCTCCAACTTACTCTTAAATGGATCAGCAAAAATACATGTATGGGTATGTGGAGAAAGAAGAAATAAAAATGTAGCTAAATGTTAACAGTTGGTGAGTCTAGGTTAAATGTATGTGGGAGTTCAGTGAAACTTTTCTGTAAGTTTAAAATTTTTTCAAAATAAAAATTTGAAAGAAGAGGCAGTTGGCAGCCATTAACTGAATTCTGGGCAAAATATTGAAATAATTAGAAATAGCTTTGAAGAGAAATGTTTGTTTTTTTAATGTTCATGTACAATATCAGAGGCAGAGGGGTGCCTGGATGCCTCAGTTGGTTGAGCGTCTGACTCTTGATTTTGGCTCAGGTCATGATCCCAGGGTTGTGGGATCAATCCCCATGTCAGGAACCAGGCTGGGATTCTTGGCCTGTGCTTGGGATTCTCCCTCAGCCTCTTTCTATGCTCCTTCCCTACTCTCTCTCTCTCTCTCAAAATAAATAAATAAAACTTCAAAAAGATAAATTAGAGGGAAAGATGAGAAAAGATATTATGTGAAGAATACAGCTCTGGCTGTAAAAACTGAACAAGGAGTAGAGTTAAACAATGCAGGCAAAGAATTTAGCACTGGATTGGTTATCAGCAGACAAAGTAAGACAAAATCGTTGAAAGTAAACTGATTTTGGCATTAAATATAGCAAAGGGGAGATATTTAAGAGGGAAATGGGTTAATTTTTGACATTAGTAGGGTCAAATCAAAGCAAAGAATTATTAGTGATTTTTAAAACTTGTCATATTGCTAACAATAATTACTGTTTCTGGTTTATGTAGCTCAGAAGTGTAATGCTCTGCAAAACATGAACAATCATTTGGAAGCAGTGCTAAAAGAGAAGAGGTCCCTGCGGCAAAAATTGTTGAAACCCATGTGCCAGGAAAACTTGCCCATTGAAGCTGTTTATCACAGGTTAAACTAAAAAGTAGAAATTAGGGATACCTGGGTGGCTGAGTTAGTTGAGCATCAGACTCTGCACTGACAGTGCGGAGCCTGCTTGGGATCCTCTCTCTCTCTGACCCTCCCCCACTTGCATTGTCTCTATCTCTGTCAAAATAAATAAATAAACTTCCAAAAAAAGTAGAAATTAATAGTTACACATTTCCTGAGGGCATTTTTTTGTTTAGACTGGTAGTTATTTCATAGCATAATTTGTTAAACAATGTATCAGTGATTGTATTTGTTAACATTATTATTATTATTAACATTAAACCAGAAAGAAAATCTTTTAAACTGTTAAGAGAAAGGCATTCTTTTTGACTTTAAGGAAGAAATTAGATCTATAACATGACGTAAGATGGGTAAAAATGATTTTTATTATGTATAGACTATTTTCTATGAAGTAAACTTACTGTTGTGTTAATGTTGCCTATATGTAAAAGTTCTCTTGGGGAATTTAAGCAGGGAAGGATGAGAACCATGTCAACTGAAAGAGAAAAAGAGTTTAGCCTCCATTTCCCAATCCATAGAATGGGCATACTTTCTGTTGCTCTTCTCCCCATACAAGTATTATAAGTATAATCATAAACAACAGTAAAGAAGTAAACATATGGGCATCTGATTGCTAACTTTCTCCACCTCTGTCTCATTGGCTGACCCTGAGCAAATCAATAGTACCTCTCTTAAGTGTCAGATTTTTTTATCTTGTAGTAAAAGAATAAATATAAAAAACCCACTCTTGTGGGTATATTCAGTATCTATTCAGTACGGTAAAATACCATTAATGTGTATATTATACATTATATTGGAAGAACTAAGTAATGATTTTAAAGCATTTTGAAAATCCAAAGATTCAAAGTGGTTTTATGTGCCGGTTGTTTCAGTCGAGTACATTTATCCTTATTGTCTTCACCCTTCACTGAAAATGAGTAGATCGAAATGGAATGCGATTTAATCCAGGGAAGTTTCTTTACTTATATGACAAAATGATTAACATTAAGTTTTGTCTATTAGGTTCAGTATCAGATAAGATTAGTGTTGTCTCTGTTTTTCTGTTTAGATGACAAGTTAATTTCTACTTAAAGTAAGAAAGTGACATTTTTATCACTGGTATTTCCATGAATGCAAAAAAGTTATTATTGGCTCACTGGGTTGATTATAATTCTCTTATATTAAAAATCCTAATTAAAGGGGAAAAGGGACACAAAATAACTAAAAAGAAAAAAGTTGACTTTTTTCTCCCTTTCAGACACATGGTACATTTGCTGGAATTGGCAGTGACTTTCATTGAAAGTTTAGAAAACCATCTTGAAGCAATTAGAAATATCCCTCATTTAGATGAAAATCTAAAGAAAATGGTGAGTATTAACAGTAGCACTTAAGTACCTCAACTACTTTACATTACATTTGCCTATTTTGTGCTGTGAATACAGCAGAGAATTATAAAGAAGATGCTATTAAGCAAAAAAAAAAAAAGAGAGGGATTGGGAGTAGAATACTTCAGTAAAGTTTTACATAGTAGTTAGTAGTGAGCTGAAGAATCGGTGAAATTTGCATCAGAAAGAATAGTTTGACCAAAGCAGCAATGTGAAGAAAGATATGAAAATTAGCACTGGTAGTTTGGGAGAAGAGTCGTACTCCACTTTGGCTAATACTTAAAGGTATTGAAAGAGAGATTAACTCGGGGTTAGTTTATGGAATGCCTTGAAAACCAGATTAAGAAGTTTAGACTTTACTGTCTGAGTACTGGGGAAAAGTCAACAGTTTAAATGGTTTTTTGTTTCGTTTTTAGAGAAGGACACAGAGAAGTGACTTGATCAGAATTATATCTTAATGGAGAAAATATTGGATAGGAGTCACACAAAGTATAGGCAGAGAGCATCAACATTACGTAAAACCTTGTTGAAAATGCAGAATTGCAGGCTTCATTCACCTTAGACCTTCAGAATCTGAATCTGCAGCTTATAAGTTCCTCAGGTGATTCCTGTGCACATTAAAGCTATAGGTTAGGGGGCGCCTGGGTGGCTTAGTCGGTTGGGCGTCCGACTTTCGCTTAGGTCATGATCTCGCGATTCGTGGGTTCGGGCTCCGCGTAGGACTCTGTGCTGACTGACAGCTCGGAGCCTGTAGCCTGTTTCGGGGTCTGTGTCTCCCTCTCTCTCTGACCCTCCCCTGCTCACACTGTCTCTCTCTGTCTCTCCTAGAAATAAATAAAAATTAAAAAAAAAAAAAAAAGCTGTAGATGACTATGCAAAGGAACCAAAGGCAGAGAAACTTGGAGAATAAGTGCAGGCATTCAGATAAGAGATTTAAAGCATAGGAAGACAACGGATTATGGAGATTTTGAGATTTGGGATGTCACATTCCTAGAATGTGTCTACTCTTTGGACAAGGGACACATCCAAGGCAATAAAGTATCTAGCCTTGGTAACTCGAGGGTGAACAGGATCAAGAAATCAAAAAAGCTAATGAATTTGTTTTCTGACATGCCTTGTACAGAGAGTAAACCTTTAATTGTTGAACTGCAGTTAAATCGAGTTCTTAAATGTACATTCAGGTGGACATTTTCAGTAAACTGCAATATAGGACTGAATTTTAGTAAGGTGATAAGTTTTACGATATAGATTGTGGGTCACCTGCTTTGAGGTGATAATTGAAGACAAAGGAGAGATGAATTCCCAAAGAAAAAGCATATGCTGTAATAGAGCACATGCACAATTTTAAGAAGAGCACAATTTTAAGAAGCTTTTGTATCAGGGGGCTAGAGAAAAGATCAGGTGTAAACTTTTGTTATCATAACCACTTATGATATAATAATGATGTATTGATGACATGTAATTTCTCCTGTTTTCCCCTTCTTTCAAATGTTACAGAGCAAGGCTTTAGCAAAAATGGATATTTTGGTGACTGCGACAGAACAGCTGGCAGAGAATATACTCAAGTGGCGAGAACAACAAAAGGAAGTTTCCTCTTGTATCCCCAAAATACTAACTGAAGAAAATTATCTTCATAAACATGATGTTACAACGCCATCTTTACCTTTTACTTCTAAAGTTCATGTCCAAGCTGTTAATACCAAGTGATGGTCAACAGTTTATTTTTGTTTAATTACATGTAGTCATGTGAGGTCTATTTCTAGCCAATTGTAACATGGACATTTATAAGCTCTGCTGCTAGCAATACTGAAAGAGCCCTCTTTATATTGAAGCACTAAGATTCCAACTTCATTAAGACCAAATTGAGTTTTCCTTTGTTTTTCACATATTTTCATGCTATTTTACAGTAAAATTCTTGAAGATCAAATACAACTATGACAATTTATTAACAGGAGTGCCTTAGCCATATCTCATTCAGTGGTCTCTATAATGTCTTTTTTTAATTATTTTTTTTAAGTTTGTTTATTTACTTATTTTGAGAGAGAGAGAGCACAAGCAGGGGAGGGGCAGAGAGAAAGGGGGAGAGAAAATCCCAAGCAGGCTCTGCTCTGTCAGTGCAGAGCCCAACACAGGGCTTGATTCCATGATCCCAGTATCATGACCCAAGCCAAAATCAAGAATCGGACACCCAACTGACTGAGCCACCCAGGTGTCCGTATTATGTCTTCTTTTTATTTTTTTATTTATTTATTTTTTAAGTCAAATGATTTTTTTTATGAAAACAAATATTCTAAATATCCCACTTTTATTTTTCAAGATTCTTTTTTTTTTTTTTTACAGTTTATTGTCAAATTAGTTTCCACATAACACTCAGTGCTCATCCCCACAAGTGTCCTCCATGCCCGTCCCTCCTCCCCCCCACATCCATCAGTCCTCAGTTTTTGTCAGCATTCAAGAGTCTCTCATGGTTTGCCTCTTATGTCTTCTTTTTAAATTGTTTGTTTCTGAAATAGAAGAATCTTCTTGCATCTGAAAGTATGTTGATCTTTCCTGTTGGAAAGATACTAAGTGCATACAGAAGAGCGAACATAGCAGGCTTATGAAAGGCCTGCTTATAAAGTTGGTCCTTGGCTGGCTTCTGGGAACTTCAATTTCAGGAGGGTTCCTTCTACTCCCAATCTCACTGGTAAGAGTTGCTCACTGTGACTGAAGTGTTTGTCCAATGTGATTTTTTTGTGTGTTTTGTGTGTGTGTGTGTTTTAATCTTTTTATTTTGAGAGACAGACAGAGCACAAGTGGGGAATGGGCAGAGAGAGAAGGAGACTCAGAATCCAAGCAGGCTCCAGACTCTAATTTGTCATCCCAAAGTCATGAGATCATGACCTGAGCCAAAGTCGGATGCTTAACTGTCTGAGCCACCCAGGTGCCCCTGTACAATGTGGTTTGTGCTGATAAACTTTCCTTCTTAGAGTCTCGAATTTTGGTACATGCTAACCAGAAGGTACATATGGCCAGCGCATGAAAAGAATCCTGGGCACTGCATTTCTTTTTTTTTTTTTTTTACAAATAGTTTATTGTCAAATTAGTTTCTACATAACACTCAGTGCTCATCCCCAAAGGGGCACTGCATTTCTAATGAGTTTTCATGAAAGACACCATCTCACACGTGTTTTTACTTTGGTTGCTGGGAGAATTAAGCACGTTCTGTGTGACTCGACTAGCAGAGGACTCTGGAAGCTTGTGCCTGATTTCCCCCTGGACTTTGCCCGATGCACGTTTTCCCTTTGCTGTTTTGCTTTGTATGCTTTTGTTGTAATAAATCATAGTCATGGATACAATGATATGCTGAATCCTTTGAATCTTCCATACATATCAAACCTGAGGGGGGAGGTGTTGAAGACCCTGAGACATGAAATTCCTGAGGGGATTTCCTGGCAGCCTCGTGAATAGGCAAAGAAAAAAGTTAGAACAAAGAATAGAAAAAGGCATGTTACAGTAAAACTTTTAGAAGTTTACCTTATAAAATGCTCAGATATTTTGCCTGATATTATTGTACATAAAAAAGAATGGCATGATAATACTTTCTAATACTAAGCCTCAGGATCTATTCATTTGTATCAGTACTGTACCTCTGGGTTATTTTCAAACTTGGTGTTTTCTTTTACTTTAAAAAAGATGTAAGCATCAGTATTTTTCTGCTGTTGTATAAAATCTGTTATCACCAGGGTTCACTGATTCTTATATTCATCATACTCCTTAACACAAGAAGACCGCAACACAGTGACTGAACTAAGTACTTATTCATAAGGAAGCAGGATCATTGCCAAAAAAAACTGCCAGAACAACCAGAGATCATGTTTTGAAGCCTACTTTGCTGACTTTTGCAAGTGGAATATAGAAGAGTAGTCATAATATCTTGAATATGATCTAACGTTGCCTAAACAGTTAAATAAAATTTTAGTTGTATTTCATCAGAAATTTTTTCAAACCCAGCCTTGGTTTCAAAGATCTTAGTATGTTTTTTCTTCATGTGATTTCCTGTATTAGTGTGTGTGTGTGTGTGTGTGTGTGTGTGTGTGTGTGTGTGTGTGTGTGTAAACAAAAATTGATATGCCTGGTGGTTTTCTTTTTTGTCTAGTGTGACTTTTTTGAAATTAAAAAAAAAATGAACCTGTGATTTCTAACTAAAATTTTGAAGTCCATGTCTGAATCTTGTGATAGATTCTCTATATAGTGTCTGCATTTAAAGTATAGGCGTATAGGGTGCCTGGGTGGCTCAGTCAGTTAAGCATCTGACTTCAGCTCAGGTCATGATCTCAGTTCCTGAGTTCGAGTTCTGATTCGGGTGAGCCCACTTCTCTCTCCCCCCTCCTCTCTCTCTGCCCCTCATAGGACTCTATCTCTCTCTCTCTCAAATAAATAAAGTATAGGCCTATAGATTATCTGACTCAAAAACTTGAGGTAAGAGTGAGGTCTACTTCAAAGAGAAAAGCGAATTTAGTGCTGTGGTAGTGTCACTAAGTGTTGATCAATTTTTTTAAATTACTATTATTCAGCTTTTAGACATGTGAATATTAAAAACTCTGGAGTATCTAGATGGGGAGGGCCTCAAGAAGACAGGACCACCAGTTGATCTGTGAGCTGGACCCGAGCAATCAGAGCTCCTCACCCATTTCCCTATTCTTGGAATGTGGGTTCCTCTTGTTTTCCCCACTTGCAGAAACTGTCCCCAAGGACATAGCCTTGAGATAGTGATGTGGTGCTGAGAGCATCTGGATGGTATACAGGTTTGAACCCAGTTTAGGCCTTTACATAGAACCTATGGACGAATTTGGAGATCTACTCATCTTGTAGCTTCCCAAGACAAGCCTCATATGTAAGTTCCCTTGCTTACTAAATCTGCCACCTACCAACCTGGAGGGGCCAGCATCTTTCTTCAGTCCCACCCTGCCCAACAAATACAAGAGCCAATTTTAGGCTATACCTGGAAAACTCTTGAGGAACTTGTGAACCAGCACTAAGAGGTGTGTGAAATTTGTCAATTCATTTCCAGCATTATGATGCCACTCTGTGAAGCCTATTCTGGAGGAATTGAGTTGCTGCCTGATTTTTCTAGCATTTTAATAATAAAATGCTCCTTCCTCTGATCTATGACTCTGTGAGACTGATCCCTCTTGTCCTCTCAAACCTTTAATAAAGTCAGGGAAAGTCTGGAATAGGAAAACCCAAAGGGTTCCTTGACATGCCAAATGAAATTAAAGTCATATTAATAAAACTAATTAATACAGCTATTCCTAAAATGTCTAAAATAAATATACATAACAAATTGGTTCCACAAATCAGGTAAAATCTAATAAGATTGACTTTACAAAAGAAAGGTATAATTCAAGCTAAACATCACATTGTAGAATTCTTCTAATTGTGCCTTTTTCCTTTTCCTCCCCATTTCCAAGGTAAATTTTACCTTCTTTAGGAAAAAAAAAAACACACCGTAAGTGTTTGTGAGAAAAGATTTCTGTTAGGATATGGTAAGAGCAGGAATCCCATGATGGGCTTATGAACTTTTCCTGGGAGGCTAATTTTTTTAGACCTCTCAAGTTGCTACACCAGAATTGAAGATAGTGAAAATAGTCAAGTATCTTACTCAAGACTGAACCACTTTTTTTCTTTTTTTAAGGGTTTTTTAAATGTTTTTAAATTTATTTTGAGAGAGAGTGAGCTGGGGAGGGGCAGAGACAAGAGGGGAGAGAGAATACCAAGCAGGCTCTGTGCTGTCAGCTCAGAGCCCAGTGTGGGGTTCAAACTCAAGAACTGTGGGATCATGGCCTCAGCCGAAATCAAGTCCAACACTTAACTGACTGAGCCACCCAGGCGCCCCAAAACCATTTTATTTTCTTAATATAGAACTAGGCTAGTAAAAGTTAAAATACATTCATTTTCTAAAAGTTGAAGTGAGGTAACTTTTTCAAAGAGGCTCTACACTTAATCTGTCTGAATACGCTTTCTTCCATTTTTTTTTTAAACTTTTTATTTAATCTTTACACCCAATCTGGGGCTCAAACTCACAAATCAGATCAAGACTCCTAAGCTCCTCCAGCCAGGGAATTTACTTTCTTCTCAAGTGCGCATGGCACATTCTCCAAGATAGATCACATATTGGGACATAAAGCAGCCCTCAATAAATATAAAAGAATAGAGATCATACCATGCGCACTGTCAGATCATAATGCTTTGAAACTTGAAATCACAGGAAGAAGTCTGGAAAACCTCCAAAAACATGGAGGTTAAAGAACACCCTACTAAAGAATGAATGGGCCAATCAGGCAATTAGAGATGAAATTAAAAAATATATGGAAACAATGAAAATGAAAACACAACAATTCAAAATCTATAGGATGTGGCAAAGGCAGTCCTAAGAGGAAAGTACATTGCTCTCCAGGCCTATTTCAAGAGATTAGAAAAAGCGCAAGTCCAAAATCTAACAGCTCACCTAAAGGAACTAGAGGCAGAGCAACAAGAATGCCCTAAACCCAGTAGAAGAAGAGAAATAGTAAAAATTAGAGCAGAAATAAACAACATAGAGACCAAAGAAACAATTGAACAGATCAATGAAACCAAGAGTTGGTTTTTTGAAAAAGTAAACAAAATTGACAAACCTCTAGCCAG